ACCACCTTCACCCTGAAAATAAGCATATTTCTTTCAATAAAAAGTGTTTTTTTTTTCAACAAACAGTTATTTTTTTTAAACTAAAAGTTGCTATAATTTTATTCCAGACCATCAATGATTGATGTTGATTAAAGTTGGTGGTGGATATGGTGGTGATGGTTTAACAAACCCTTATTTCAAAATGTTTAATTCTCTTGTGATAATATAAAGAAAATTTAAAAGATACATAACAAATGTTTAGATAAAAAAGAAATATTTTGAAAATACCATGCATACCTATAGCTAGAATTATAGTAATCAACGCTTATGTTTTTAATTTCAATGAAGCCAATAAAATTTTAGAAACTATAAACAAGTCACACTAAAATAAATGGTAACTTTCACTTTTAAAATAAAATAAACTAGTAAAAATATACAAACTAATATTAATTAATATAAAAAATCTAATAAATTACTGTAAAAAAAAAGAAAAAGAAAAAACCATCTTACTGGCAGTCTATATCTAATTGTATTAATATATATATATATATATATATATATATATATATATATATATATATATATATATATATATATATAAATTATATATACAATATATATATATATATATATATATATATATATATATATATATATATATATATATATATATATAAATTATATATACAATATATAAATATATATATATATATATATATATATATATATATATATATATATATATATATATATATATATATATATATATATATATATATATATATTAATTATATATACAATAATAATTTTAAATTTACTTAAACGATGCGGACATTTATATTCTGAATGAAAAACTGCATTACAAGAACTTTGTTCCCAATTCAGTTGAAACTAATATTAGTGAATCCAAAAAAAAAATCAATTTACTTCTAGTTATTTAACCAAAGAAACTTGTCTCCAGTCTCAAACGTCAATGTTGATCTAAGGATCTTTTTCTTTGCTGATGTTACAATTTGTAACAGAGAAAAGTCTTTTTTAAATTTTAAAAAGGGTATTGAAAAATAGGTAATTGCTAGAATTCTAATAGTAGACAAAAAAAATTGCCTTTCAGCGCTAGAATTTACTTGTTCGTTTTTGGACAATGCAATAGTTTTAATTAGCAATATATTAGCATATAAAAAACGGAGTGTCTATTCGCACTTTTTTCACGTGCGAATAGACTATATTTAATTATAGTTTATTCGCACGTTTAACTAAAATAGGTAAAGATCATTGAATTTAAAGGCAATTTAAGAAAATTATATTTATTATTATTAGTTTTTAACTTTAAAATTAAACTAGCGCAGTGGATTATTAACGCAGTACTTACGTTGACTGACTTTTGAAGGATATGCGCACCGTTGTGTCTATACATATTGACTGCTTATCTAGGGATACGTATAAATACAATGAAGAGGGTTTTGGCTTGGGCAGGCAATCTTATAATTAAAAAAAAAAAGTATTTCATAATGTTTATTTTATCTATTGGCACATTTTTGTTTGTTTTTTGAATAAAATTTATTATGTTTAAGTAATTTTATTTATTTTTATTATAATTAAATAAAAAAAATAAATTGCTTTCAAAATATATGACTTAAGTTATAAATATTTTTTGTTTGTGAGAGATTTCATATAAAAAATCTAACTTGAAATTTTTTTTTAAACGTGCGAATAGACTATAATAAGATATAATAAGATATAGTCTATTCACACGTGCGTGCGAATAGACTCACACAATAAAAAAATGAATTTTAAAAACGGATACTATTTTATTCGGGGAGGAAAGGAGGGACCGCAACTGTTATTTAGCTGGGGGGCTACAATGACCTAAACACGGGCCTGTTCATCTGTTGAACTAATATTATAAAGTACCCTTATGATTGCCAATTGTAGACCATTTACGATACATAACTGATGGTTTTTATTAAGTAACTTTACCGTTCTCTTGTTAACGGCAGCTCCGTCTGATGTTATGCACAAAATATTTTACCAAGTTATATTAAACTCTTTAAGCTTCTTTTCAATTAGTTCTGCGTATACCTTAGCAGATGCAGATTCATGAATCCGAGTCAATCCAAGATTCCAAAAATTACCGTCATTTTCATAAAGGTAATTTTTCCAACTTCTTTCCTTATTTTATCAGTATAATCCATTACTTTTTTGTGAATAACTTTGGACAATTTAGGTAACTCTATGTACCCTTTTGCTTTTAGTAACATCTTTAAATCTTCAGATGTACAAAATTTATTAAAAGGAATGTCATCTTGTGCAATCATTCTTGAAAGTACAGCTTCAAGAGATTCGTCTCTTTTTTTGATAAAAGAAGTAATTTTCGATGCTATTGTTCTTTTGAACGTTTTTCTATATTTCTTTTTAATGCATTAATTTTATGTTGACTCTTTTGATGGGCATGTAAACCACTAGTACTTATACCTACTGTTTTAAATCTTTTTGCTCATTGTTTACATATGGCTATATCTCTCGTTTCGGTACGGTAATTCCAAATTGAACTTTTATCCATTAAAAGGTCTTTAAAAACAATTTTTAAAACGAAATAAAAAAAAAAATTTTTTTTTAAAGGGTTGTCCATAAAGTGCGTAACCAAAAATTTTGAAATTTGCCCCTCGCCCTTTACCCCTTTTGCTTTGCGTATTTTTAAGTCCCCACCCCCCTTAAAAAGTACATACGTGTTTCAAATACACCCCCCCCCCCCTCAACTTTTCTTTTTTTCAATAAAAAAGTTTATTGAAAAAAAAAAAGGTGGAGGAGGTACCTTAGATACTTTTTACGACCCCAAAGCCCTTTGTTTGCAGCACAGCATCCCAATTTAAAGAACATCTTTAAATATATATACAAATATTAATTTTAACAAAGTTAAATTTCTGAGCCAGATTATGTGTGTTTGAGAGGTTAACGTAATGAACAGCGACCACGGAGATCCGAAATCGATTCCTCGCAAGTCATATCGTAATATCTTTTGTTTTAATGACGGATCAAATAAAAATAAACTATACTTAAAGTGGATGTTTTTTTCAGGCACCCCTCTTTAGTAAGTCCGTAAAAAACGAGTCTTACGCGAGATCAGTAATATTGAAAACAAAGCGTAAAACCCAGTGCCAAGGGGAGGCTACCCATACCCTTTAATTGGGAGAGAAAAGGAGGGGGGGGGAAGGGAAGAGTCGATTCAAAAAATAGGTTGCCTGAAATACGCCTTACTCAGGGCCAGTATGTAAGAGGTGGCAAAAGTTATGACTATGCCAGTTTTCTGACCCTCCAAAATGAGGGGGAGGGGGGTCAGAAAATTTGCATGATCATAACTTTTGTTATTTACAATAGTTTTCTACGAAGTTAAAAATCTGTCAATAAGGTTAAATATAGTTTTAGATAGTAAAGTTGAAAATTTTACTTCATTAGTGCTCTCAAGTTTAGGCATGGGGCAGGGGCGTTCTAGTACTTTTTTGTTCCCAGGCTTCCGCCATCCCAATTTTTTGCAAGATCTCTCCATTTGGCATAGATATTAAGGTTGAAGTTTGCATAATAAGTGAAAGTTTCCTATCTGGAACATCAAAATATCCTGCGGGCGCCCGCAGAGAAACTATACCCTCTACTCCCTATACCATACATTTTTTTATGTTGGCAAACTAAGATCTTTAGTCAGAATTTTAACTTTTACTATTTTTAGCTTTACTTTATTTTTAAAATTTTAACTATTGATTAGCTGGTTAAATTGTAATAATTTAGAAAATTGAACTACGTACTTTTAAATTGAACCCCCTCCCCCCTACGCTTTCGTACGCTTTTTATAGACCTCCCCCTTCCCCCCTATGCGCGTACGTACTTTATGGACGACCTCTAACGCTAAAAAGTTTGCAAAACAACATTTATTTTAAACGTTGTTTAAATTAGAGTCGTTAAGTTTACTCAAGCATTAACAAAAGAATACTTTACACTTTTATACTTTTAATTTTTTATCTATTGAAAAGAAAATAAATAATTTTTTTAATATTTATAGTAAGTTCTTTATTAGATAAAAATATTCAGAGATTAGGAATTAAAACGATCCTTACATAGCAAAACGCTTGATTTACCAGTAAAAAAGTTGAACCAAATTTAGGTATTTACCGGTAAACCGTTAAACCGATAACCGGTATTACAAACCCTATCCACAACTATACTTAATTTAACTCTAAATGTGCTTTAATTAAGTCTATATTTTTAAGATATTATATAATTTTATTTATGATTATATTTAGCTACAAAATAAAAACCAATCATTTTTAACTAAACTCATTTTTTTGTACAATTTTTAGAAAAACCTCAAAAAAAGAGATCTTTTTTAAAAGAAGTGATAAACAATTTCGAAATCAGTGCTCCAAAAGGAAATTCGGTAAACTAGTGTTTTTTGCTTGGGATATAAGTACTGTTTAGAAATTTATTTTATATAAGATTTACCAAATACCCAGTGCCGCCGAGAGTGGGGGTCGCGAGGGACAGTTTGTCCCGAGCGGCAGATATCCAAGGGGCACCAAATGAAATGTAGGTACCTTAAAAAAAAAAAAAGTCCTTCATATATAAAATAGGGAAAATTTGATAAATAAAGGCGCAAATCAGGTTGTCCCAGGTGGCGTGACAGCTCTCGGCGGCCCTGCAAATACCTGTTAAAATAGTAAATCTTATTTATCATTCCTTACAATTACCAATAAATCTCACTTATCATTCCTAACAACTAATTGTAAATCTTATTTCTAATTTCTAATTATTACTAATAGAAACCTCATCCATCATTCCTAATAACTAATAATAAATCTTATTTATCATTCCCTACAATTACCAATAAATCTCATTTATCATTTCTAACAACTAATAATAAGTCTAATTTATCATTCCCTACAATTACCAATAAATCTCATTCGTCACAATCAATGCTCATCTCAATCAACATTTATAACTAATCAATATATTCTGCATTTAAAAAAACTAAATTTAAAATCTTTTTTTTGTGGACTTTTTTCTATAATATTGCGGTATCGTGATGTTATGATTTAAAATCTATCTAATGTTTAAAGTACATTTTACGTATTTTTTTTTAGTTTTTGATTTCAATATCTTGTTTTGATGCATCGTCTATAATCTTAGATTCACTCTCATTTGAACCACTTTCGCTTTCACCAGATTCTGAACCAGATTCATTGTTTCCATCAACTGCATCTCCTGATTCAGCCTCATCACTTAAATCTTTATCATCTGCATCGGTATCATCGTTAGAGTCTGCACCTTCAGTTATATAGAAAACAGGCTGGTACGGATCCTCAAGAAACTCCTGCTCTTTATCGCTTGGAAACAGATTATCTTCTAAGTCATCGCGGAATGGTGCTTCTCGCTTAGAAATAAACTTGTCTTGCACATCATTTACAAAGTCCTGAGGTTCGATATAGTATTTTTCAGGTATTACTGCAGATGCTAACGGCTGAACAAATACTAAAATCAAAAAATAAAATATAAGAAACTTTTAGTTAACTTGTGTAAATTTGAATAAATTTGGATAAATATTATTGACATTTCGTAAAATTGTAAATTGTTAGCTTTAACAGTTTTCATGAGTGGCATGAGTATATAAACAAAACCGTAGCTCAATAAACCCGTTTTTTGCTGGAAGAATGTGTTGGTCAATGTAAAGTTTATAAAAAAAATAAAAGCAGGTCAGGTGAAAATTTAACTAAATTTGTATTATTTATAAGAATAGATAAAATTTATATAATCTTGTAAATAATTCAAAGTTTGGTTAAAAAATATGAGAATCAGAAACTTACCTCTGATTTCTCAGTTCAAAAAAAATAATAAAAAAAGTACTACACATATTTTAAAGTAAATTCTTTTGTTTTTATTTAAAAAAGGGTACGTATAACTTATCTTTAAATATTTATAGTTCTGTCATAATATCAAAAATCCATTTTTTGGGAAATCTTCTCGCTAATTTTCACAATAATAGTACTAGGAATATACCGGAAGTCTGACTGGAGCTACAATACTTCATGCGGAATGCAGGAATTTTCTTTTTACGTTTATTTTTTAAAGACATATTTAAATAAAACAAAAATCAAATTAATGAAATAGGCTATATATATATATATATATATATATATATATATATATATATATATATATATATATATATATATATATATATATATATATATATATATATATATATATATATATAAGTTATAAATATATATAAGTTATAAATATGCATTATATAATACAAATAGAAGGAAAGAATAAACAATAGCATTATTTTTTATCTGCTATAGTAGACACTAGAACTTATATATATACAAGTTATTCAAGCTCAAGGTTTTAAAGTTTTAATAAGACATGTTTTAACAAAAATTTAGATTAAAATAAAGATTTAAACAATTGAAATGAAAAGTAGTTTATAGGAACAATTTTGATAGAAAATTTTCTAGAACTATTTTAATTTTAGTTAAAAAATCTGACTGATTTCTCCTTAAGACTATTTTTTTCTTAAAACTGATTTTTCTTTGAAAACCAAAGTTTTATTGAATTGTTTTATGTTTACATTTGCTTTATGATACTACGCTGGCAAACGTCTAAATGTCGTCTGAAAGACGTCTTATAGACGTCTTATAGACGTGATAATTTTGCATAGGTATGATATGAATGCCAAGATTTTGTGTTCAGAATTGTTGCTTTCGAACCAATTTGCTACAACAGTAATCAAGTTATGTGTTACATAATATTTACCTGGTATCAATGGTCACTGCAATAAGTAGTCTTTGATACTACAACCTGTAAACATTGCCACAAAAAGAAAATGTCGGAAAAAGCGTATCTTCAAATTAAACTTTACAATAGTGGAATTGATTTATAAACTCTTGTGGATTCTAGATTTTTCAAACTAAATTTTGCATTCTTTGAAAGAGACTGCTGTTTAAATTAAAAAAACTTTGTACACAGTAGTAAACAAAGTTATAGGCTTGAATACAGTTCGTAAATATCTTTTTGATTCTGTGAAAACAGAAGATAGACTTTGATCGCGTTTGCTCCAAAACTTTAAAAACCGGAAGAAAAACCATATTTTTATATCAAAAATAAAAGAAAAAACTAAAACTTTTATTTTTTTTAAGTATTTCATTATTTGGGTAATATTTCAATTTTAAAACGTCTAAAAAATATTTATAATATATTATTATTTAACCATATTTTTATATCAAAAATAAAATAAAAAACCAAAACTTTTATTTTTTTTAAGTATTTCATTATTTGGCTAATATTTCAATTTTAAAACGTCTGAAATTTTTAAAAACGACATTAGATGAAAAACGTTTCTTAGGTTTTTTAAACATTTTTGATGAAGAAAAAAGTTGAGAATTATTGAAAAAAGCGTAAGTATTATCCTCAAATGCATTTAAGTTGACTCTAAATCCACTTCATCTGATTCTAAATTTTCTGAGTGTACAATATCCAAAGAATTTGTACGCTTTGCACCAAAATGGTTTTAACACATTCAACTTCATTATTGTGTACCATGTGCATTTGTTGTTTGTTCTTTGACACAGTTCTGAATCCCTAAAAACACACCATAAGACATCTATCATCTTTCTTTCATCATATCTCTGTCTCTAACATGAAATAAGATATTTTATTTTATGGGACAATTTTTCAAATTTATAGTTATAAAGCTAACATTTTTATTTTCTTATTTTTTTTATTCATGTGTTATATTGTTGTTTTTATATTCAATTAATAATATTTTTCTATAGTTAAGAATCAATTAAAAATTAATTACAACCATATATATAAATATCAGAATTATATATATTTTATTGTCTTCTTTCTATTTTAAAATCAGAACTTTTTAAAGTTGCTGATTGCTTATTCAATCAGCAAATTTAGGAAGTTTTGACTTTAAAACTTTCCCCGAGTTGATTAAACTCATTTTGAATACTGATGAAAGTATAATAGTTGAGCAGTATTCAAAATGACAATCTTTGATTTACCAATTAATATAGAATTTATTGACTTTCTTAATCTTTTCAAATATGTTGTTATACTTGAAACTTTAAAGCCGCATATTTAATAATTTTTTAAGATGAGGAATAAACGTATCCGAGTATTCGCGAATATTTTATAGTATTTATTATTCTTAGTTAAGGTTTATCTTTATGTCAATATTTCGTCGTCAGTTTCCTAACATGCTCTTGTGTTTGTCACACTTTCGTAAATCCTTTTTTAAGGTGTTAAAAAAAGTTGAATAACAGGGGTAACATAATTAATATCACAATGTTTATTTCATTTTATGTTCTTTCCCCTGTAAAAGCTTCTCTCTTTCCTTACTATCTAAAAAAGCTACTACATACCCCTCCCTTTTAAAATCAACCCTGACTAACTTTTTTCTCAAATTATACTATTTTATAAAATTTTGTTGAACGGATAAGTTAAACTAGCAGATAAGGTAAACTAGCCTAATTTCGATCAACATACAAAAAGTTTAATTTGTTTTTGATTGGAAATATATTTTTTCATGGAACTGTATAGAATCAATAGATAAAAAACTTTGTTTTCTAAAATAATATGTAAAAAAAAAAAGGAGCTTTGTATAATATTTATTTCTTAAAATTAATTTTACAAGAAACAATTTTTTAACAGATTTATACTTTTTTCAACTAAAATCGGTCACGTTATATTCATTGAGAAAACTATTTCATATATGTAAACTAATAAAAAAGAAAATATATCTATTTATTACTCATTATTGGAACCACCAAGTCTACACATTTTAATGCAGAAAAACTCAGTGCCCTTTTAATATTGTTTTGAAATACATATCTGGTTGCAAAACCAGCGTACCGCGATTGTGATGCTAGCTCTTGATTTTCAAATGTTTCTGTTATTTTCAGTTTTTTAAAGTTCACTATTAGATTTATAAAAAAGAGTTAAACTTGTTTTTTCGATATATTATGGTAGGTGTTGTCCTAATCTATATTGAACTGCTTTTGCATTATGATATTTCTTTTGTTTCAAACTTTTTGTTTTAATAAAATTTAAGTAAAAGTACCCGATTTAAAATATTGACCGAAAATACACTTAACGTATAAAAGTTTCAAAAATAATTTAAAACAGTTAAAGCTTTTTTTAACTGACATTTTGAAAAATATTTTTAAAAATAAATCGTGTCATACTATTTCATTAATCTATTTATTCCTGCTTGCTTAATGATACAAGTTCAGGTAGAAATTAAATTTCTAATGATACAAGTTCAGGTAGAAAACAAATTTCTAACGATAAAAGTTCAGATAAAAAATATATTTCTAACGATAAAAGTTCAGATAGAAAATGAATTTCTAAGATTTTTTACTGAATTGTAAGATAGGGTCTAAAAATAAATAAATAAAAGTTATGTTGAACATTTTGAGGAGCCTACTCTTGCGTGTTTGGTTGTCGATCTTTAATCAAAACCTCGTAAATTCAAATTAATATTTTTAACAGAACACCAATAAAACAACAATTCTAGTAAGACTTGCGTTCTATGCGCATTTTTAACTGCTGTTTTATTATAATTTTAATAGGATTTAATATGCTTATATAAGTTTAATACTATGGTGAGGAACTAACCGAAAACGCTTTTTCTACAAATCGAGAGTACGAGATTTTTTTATAGGTCAACGATCTTCGAAACCTAATTACGCGTGTACATTTTCTAGTTTTTAAAGTCAGTTAAAATGATTTTTTTTTTAAGTTTAAGATACAATTTTTCGGTCGATAACAAATAAAAGTTATTAAACGGTTGGGGGAGGGGGAGAGAGGGGGATCATATAGGCTTGGGGTTGGTGGATAAATTTTTGGAAAATTTAGAAACACGTCACTAAAAATAGTATTAAAATAAAACTCTATAAAGTTATGTCTTATTACTTTGTAATTACTCAGTTAAACAAAAAAAGAACATTTTTAAATAAAACTTTGTTCTTTAAAAAATATACAAAATAAACAATTTATAGTTCAGTCAGTAAGCCGTGAAGCGATTATTTACACATGATTATTAACACGTTCAACGTGAAACACGCGGATGCACGCCGCTCAGCAAGGTTGCGCAAAATAAACAACATGCAACAACTAAGTTGATTGCGTAGTAAACAAAACTTAATTGAGCACAAATTTTAATAAAGCAGAATGCGATATTATAAAAAAATGAACTGCCGGTTGTAAATCAGATTCAAAATTTTTTGATTCAAATAAAATATTTTCTGATTTAGACAAAAATTTAATATTACTTATATGCGTAAATCAATTGTAAATTAGATTCAAAATTTTTTGATTCAAATAAAATATTTTCTGATTTAGACAAAAATTTAATATTACTTATATGCGTAAAACTATTAATTATATGGGTAAAACTGTTTGCACTAAAATAATTTATCGCATCGTAATTCGAAAAGCCAAAAAAGTCTGTAGTTTGCAATTTTTAATCGTAAACAAAGTACACAGGTTTACGTTTTTAAACTCTTTTTATAATTGCGATAAATGATTTACTTTATTACTATATCATCTATGAGTAATAAAAATACATTTTATTTGAACATATAGTACATATAGTATATATATATATATATATATTTGAACATATAGTAATAAAATTACCCGACAAGAAAATTAGACTGGCTCCTAAAAAAAAAAAAGTTTCTCAAAACTAAAAGTCACCCGACTGAAATGTGTCAAACACCCGACTAGCCGGCTATGTCTCTTAAAAAGCGACTATAACTTGAAAATCACCTTCTTTGGGGCAAAGAGGGTAATGAAGTGTTGCACCACAAATAGACCCCCGTAAAATTGCTTCTGTGTGGGTCATGTATATTTATCCTATTTATGATACTTAAATGGTATCAGTACTACAGCCATATGCAAGAGCTAGAAATAAAAAAGGTCCTCAAAACTAAAAATTACTAACTTAACTGACTTAAATGTGTCAAATACCCGACTATAATTCGCAAAAAATTGACTGTAACTTAAAAATCGTCCTTTTTTTTAAAGTGGGGAAGGAGGTATAACATCTTCATTACACACCCGTAGAATCACCTCTGGGCATATGTGATCCTTCCGTGGCTACAACTTAAGTTATATAAATCTCATAGCTACGCTTTGCCCACATTTATGCCAACTTATAAACCGAGTGTGGCTATCATTTAATGACATATATGGTAAATATAATTCAGCTATCGTAACTATGAAAAGTGTCTGCTATCTTTAAAAAAAGCCAAATGATGTATAATAGCTGGCAAGCAATATGGTTTAAATTAAACAAAACTTAAAATCATTAATTATAACTAAAAATATCTGTTAAGACTTATATACTGTATTCAACTATATATACTATATTAACTTATATACTATATTCAACTGAAAACATTTCCATTACATGCGAGTTTTACTTAAAATTTTGTGTAATGAGATTTCATTATTGAATATCCAAAAATCTTTTTAAAACATTGCATTATAAAATTTGTATTGGAATTTACAGTTCAGACTAGGTTTGGTGAAAATATTTTTGTATTTTCCCAGAGCAAAGTTTTAAACAAAGATACATAGGTGTTATTAATATACAAAGATATACATGGTATTAGTTCTAGATATTATTTCTAAGAAAGATCTTTTTATAGTAGATTAAGAAAAAAAAAGGATTTTATATTTATTTTATTGCATTTCAAACTTTATTTATTTTCATAATCAAAGTTTATTCATTTTAAAAGCTCCAGAACAGTTTAAACTGTAAAAATAAATCATATAAAAGTATCTTCAAAATTTATAAATATATACATATTTTTACATATATATATTTATATATACTTAAATATATATTATATTATATATTATACGTTTATAACTTACGCATTGACACCAAAAAGTACAGCCATGATATTAAAGGCGTCATATTAACTGATATATATCCGCTTCGTTAATATCTACTTTAAAAAAAAGTCTTTATATTAAGTGCGTAAGATGATTTGATCTTTGGCAGAATTTGCTCGTCTCGCTAACAAATATGCTCAAGAGATTCGGTTGAGTGTTTAAACTTGAGTGGGAATGTTTTTACTTTTTGTTTTAAACCGTTTGTAGAAAGGGCTTCACAATGTGAAAACAGTTTATTGGTTTGTATTATGTTAGTTGATTTGAAGATCTTCGTGATAATTAAAATTTGTTAATTGAAAATATTTTGATGTCTTAAATTTACAATTTTTTTGATTGAAAAACAAATTATACAAGAGGTACAAAGTTGTTTTCGGTATTAAAAAAAAATTTAATGTAAAATTAAAATTTTTGTTTATGGCTTGATACATTTTAAACAAGATGCTTGAAATATTTTTTACGAATTCGAAACGACTCAAAAGATTACGGACATTTTATAAAAAGACATTTTTTCAACAATCTCTGTTTTTCAACTTTCAAAAAATTTTCATGTGTTTAAAAATTGACAGACTATTTTAATTTTTTACTTAATCAACTATTCCTCCCCCCCTCCCCCTCCCCCCTCATTTAAAATTTTTGTATATATAAGCAATACCATGTTCTAGTAACTTTTTGAAAATCAATTAAAAATTTCATGTTTTGATCAGTTTAATTTTTTTGAAAAAATGAAATAGAAAACAATGAATGGCAATTACCATTCATCGTTTTTAATTCATTCATCGTTATTAATGATAATCAAATAACCAATAATGGTTTATTTGATGTTTAAAAAGTATTACAAGATCATTAAAAAGCCATGTTGTTCCTATCGTATAATCACTAACTTCGTATCGCTTTTAAGTTTTGAAATACAAATACAAGACTATTTACCAGACAAGGTTTTTAATAGTTCTAAATTACTTATGCCAATGCACAGCGGGGCAGAGTGTACTAAAATACTCCAAAATCATTGTCAGCGACTTTCTAAAGCTACTATTGTTTTAGATTAATATTACTGAGAATCGTTTTAAATTTCATTTTTGAATTTGATGTTTTTTTGTTCAGACTTTTAATACAGTTTAATGAAAGTGTAATCTTTAGTTTTTATGCATCAGTAGCAGACAGTTTTTTTTTTATGTTTACCTATACTACTATGCATTAGATAAACCTCCAATATACTCCAATCACCATCCCCCAAAAATCCTCCAATATACTCCAATCACCATCCCCCAAATGTTTTATTCTGTAAATCTGCTGCTCAATGTAAATAAAGCATTATAATCATTTTGCCACTTGTTACTCTAAAGTTATAAAATTGGTCTTCACTAAACGGTAAGTTGATCAATAATAATGTGTATTTAAAAAACATTTTTTTTGTGCGCACATATTACAAAAATGTTTTCATGTAATATCATTATAATATCGAAACTGAGTTGGAGAACCTGCTGTACCTTTGACCACTTTTTGCTTCAGGGCGTTTTTTTGCGTAGTCTATTAAATAAATTAAAACCATTTAAACTTTGTGATATTCTCTCATATTTTGCGCAATAAAACTTTATTCATAAATGAATAAAGTTTTATTGCGCTAAAACTTTATTCATGCTTATGGCTAAAACTTTATCCATTTTATTATTTTCGATGCAGGTACATATAAAATTATAAAAACCAAAAAAATATGACAAAAATTGACAATTTTCAAAATTTTCAGATATTACACCAAGCTCTCAGAGGTCAAGGATACAATAACTGAGCTAACATCTCTGATGTGTACATGGAAATACAAACGATTATACTATCTGAAGAACTCTCAAGCATTTTACATGCAGCGCTCATAACCTTAATATTGTCGGTGTTCATTCTACTGAATCTTCCGTCAGAGAGAAGAACTATTTTCGTCATGTTCAGTTACTTTATAATCTTTTAAGTGGAAGCCTTATTCAATGAAACCTTTTGGTCGAGAAGACTGGTATGTCTCTTCATTAAACCTTGCAAACCCAATGAAGCGTACGCATTGAGGTTGTGAAGCCGTTTGTTAGGTGACCTACAAAAATCCTTATATCTTTGCAGAAGCTTTGTAATTTTAATCTAACTGCTGATCTACTGAATGAATCAAAATCTCAAAAGAGATGATTACTATTATTTGATTTCATCATCATGAAAACTTTTTGGTTCATAGCCTTTCAAACGATTAACTATGTCAGCGTCTAACTTTAATCAGAAAACATTTCCTTAGATGACGAGATGAAGCTAACGAAAACTCTTATGAAAAATCTTTTTTCTAACTAAAAAGTATTTATAAGTAACCAATCACAGATTGGCGGTAAAAAATAAAAATAAATAAAAATATAATTGCATACAACCCCGATTAAAACATGATTGAAATAAATATCAAATACAACAATGTAATAATGTCAACGTAAAAAACAATCCGAGAAATATATCTCCATTTTCTTCCAATTAAAATAAAAAATACAATAAATAAAAATAAATCTGCTAATTTTTTGGAGGTGTGATAAAATGTTTCACTTTATATTTATTACCACATTTTAAAATATTATTTGTTTATAAATATATACCTTATTATTAAATTTATTATAATCTTTTTTTTTTATCGTTTTCTTTTAAAAGTTAAGTCACATCTTTTTTTTTATAAGGGGTGTTTTTTTGTTATTTTTATTTTTAAATTTTTAATTAGAATTAAAAAAAAATCCTTAAAGTTGTTTAATTTGATTATTGTTGATTTGATCTTTGTTTTCAAATAGTGTTCGTTTTTTAAACTTATTAGTGATTGGTTTCTGGAAATTATTTTGTTAAATAAATAGGGACCACGATATGTAACTGAGAATTTTAAAAGTTTTGTTTTTTCAAACTGTATCATAAAGTTGCCAGTTACTCTTGTGTTGTATTTGTGGAAATTGTTTTTTAAAAAGTGTGCTATAAAATGTTCTGAAACCGGACTTTGAAAAGTATATTTTGATAAATATTTATTTGAAATATATCTGTGTTCATTTATTGCATTAAGAGGGCTGAGCATGATTTAATTTGTCTTTGTTGTACACTACTCTTAAAGCGTGTTTTTGAAGCAAATAAAATGGTTCTAATTTAGATTTGTTGGTACTGCCCCATGCTATATTGGCATACATAAGATAGCTATGTATGAATGAAAAATAAATAGGTTTTAGGTTTTTTTTGTGGCAAAAATGGTCTTGCCTTGTAGACTATACCTATGTTCTTTAATTTTTTTGTGTTTATGTAGTTTATGTGGGGTTTCCTGGAGATGTATTCAGAACTCTTTTGATGGTTATATTTTTATATTAATTGTTGGTATTTTTTTTTATTTTTTGATTAGATTGGAATAGTATATATTTAGTTTTTTCTATATTGAGACACAGTTTATTTGATTTAAACCATATATTAATTTTTTTTAGTTCAACATTTGTCTTTTCAAAGAGGTCTTTGATTGTCTTTGATGAGTTAAATAAGTTTGTATCGTCGGCAAACATAGTTTTAAAGATATTAGAGGCATTTAGAAGATTGTTTATATAAGTAAGAAGCAAAAGAGGAGCAAGAATGAAACCTTGAGATATTTTGTTTATAGTAAATTTTCTATCTATTTTTTTTATCACACTGTTTTCTGTTATTAAGATAGTTTGTAAACTATTTTAAAGTTTTTTTTATAGTTTTTCATTTTTGTCAGTAAAATATCATGGCTGTTTCAAAGTGAGCTTTACGGCTTCTTGTTTTTTTTTTTTTAAATAACCTTAACTAAAACTTTTTAAATTTTTTAAATATTAGAGATAATTTTGTTCTGTAAAAAGAATAGTAACACAAATAAAATGTTTTATCATATGACATTAAATGAATGATTGAAAACTTTCTTTGATTTTAGATAATACGCGCCAAATGATGAGCTTGGCTAAATTTTAGTAATTTGTTGTAACTTTTTATCAAAAAAAAAATTAAAAAAATATATTTTAGATATTTATTATTAAATATAAACTTTAATTTAAATTTTTTTTAATTTAAACCTGGTTCTTAACTGAAAAAGGCAATATTTATGTCAGTAAAGCAAATCGCTACCTTTTTACTCGTAAAATATTAAAGGTCACGTGATTGTTTTAAAATGTAAACAAAAATATACGCATAAAAATAGACAAAATGTTGTAAACCAGCCAAGTTTAAAGACATATTTGGTAACATAGCTAGAGGTATAAAAAACAATTTTTGGATTTTCGTGTGCATAAAGAATTGAAAATTTGTTAATTTGGTGATCGTTACAAAAAAATTATATTTTACATATAAAAGTTATAAAAACAAAAATATAAATGCATTAAAAACTAATTTTTGCTAAAAATTTTTTACGATTACCAAAAATCAGATAGAATAGACATTCATGGATAGATGTTCCGAATTTCAACCATCAACCATGTAGCTATGTTATCAAATCTTGATTGGCCTAAGACAGGTTTTTCGTAAAAATCGCCAAAAACACCAAAGTGATCCCAAATCATTTAAAATATTTTAACAATGTTTATTTTTATTTTGTCTAATGGAAATATTTATTAAACGAAGTAAGATATTTCTTTTATATTTTTTTAATTTGAAGATGAAAGCGTTTATAGAAAAAAAATTATATTATTTTAAAGTTAGTGAATTTTTATACTTTTTATGCGGAAATATATATTTTTTTAAAAAACCACAAAAATTCTTGTGACGTCAGGGTCGCTTATATATTGAGTGAAACAGCCGTGTACGGTATCAAACGCCTTCATCAGACTTATATCTTTTTGACCCAAATTTCATTAACGAAACACATTTGATTGCCTCCTGTCAAGCAAGTTACGGTTTTCAATCAGACTTTTTCAAAATAAAGAAAATCGAAAAATATAATTTTAGCATAAGAAGCACAATTTTGTCCCACTGAGCGATGGTTCCTATTGTTATTAGGGACCGTCCGTAAAGTATGTACGCTCATTGGGGAAGGGCAGGGTTTCAAATAGCTTACGAAAGCATATGGAGAGGAGAGAGGAGGATTTAATATAAAAGTTCGAACGCATTAATTTGAAAAAATTCTTTAGTAATGTTTGTTTTTCTAATTTATCAAGATTAACAAGTACTTGTTAATAACTAAATATTTTTGAATTAATAAAATAAAAACTGTTTCATGATTGTTCACAATTCATTAGCTAACAAATAAAAAAGTTGACTTTTTGACTAAAAATCCTAGTTTGCCGACATAAAAGGATGTATACACATGGAAGGGAGGGGAATGGTGTCCTTCTATGCACACACATCCATCTCTTATACACTAGCCTGGTAAGACAACCCCTTTTTTGAGTCCGTAAAAAACAGTTTTAAGCTTTGTTTTAAATAATACTCATTTCGTGTAAGACTCGTTTTTTACAGCTTTACTAAAGGCTAGTGTCTGAAAAAAATGTCCGCCTTAAGTAATGTTAATTTATTTGATTCGTCATTAAAAAATACTACAAATGTGTGCACTACTCAAACAAATTTAAAAACTTGTTTGGGTAAAACAAATTTAAAATTGGGTAAAACAAATTTAAAAACTTGTTTGGGTGAACTTCCTATTAAATGCTCTTCCGCGGTGCTCTGTGATAAGACCGTAAGGACTTCTTGGGGCACCATAATCAACTTAAAAAATAAAAATAAAAAACGGGAGGATGGGGGAGGGGGGCAGTATATTTAGAAATCAAAATAGATTTATTATTAAGTTGCTGACAAGTAAACGAATTTGAGCAGAGCTTGCAACTTAAAAATATTTTCTTTTTCTTTTTGAAAAATAAAAAGTCAAGTGATACATTTGCATATTTTTAAAGCATTATTATTGCTATTGAGATATTATTACATAACTATTTAAATACAATCATGGGACATTGAACTGAAAACACTTGAAAACTGATTACCTTTAAAACAATAGATATCGATGTTATTTATATCATTTAATCTCACATTTAAAGTAGTTGACGGTAGAATAAAATTTATGTAAACAAAACACGTCAACAAAAAGTATTCAAAGGACGTTTTTTATCGTTGGTACAACTAGGATATTCGTAAAGAATAATTAAAAAATAATTAAAAAAGTTAAAAAATAATAAAAAGATTAATAAAAAAATAATAAAAAGAATCAATCGAAGTTTCAATAACCGTTATTGGTACAGTTAAAATGTGGTGAGAACTAAATATAAAGATGATTTAAATGGCAAAAAAAGCTGAATGTAGACATCGACCATTAAAAATTCATAACAAATTTTACAGATGAAAAACTTAAAATTCAAAAAAGACAACCTACTATTTCTAAGGTTTAAGATAGCAAAAAAGTCAATTAAACAGTATATTAAAAAAAGAATTTAATTAAAAAAAAAAAAAAAAAAAATTCAAAAAGATGTGTACATGGATCACCTAGTGCAATTGAAAGAAGATTTACAAGGTCAAAAAAACTTTATGCATTTAAGAAAAACTGGAAAAAATCATTACAACAGATGAAAAACTATTTCACCTAACTGTTTGTGATCAGAAACATTTACGTAAATAAGTATCAAAAAGCACAAAGAGTACCTTATTAGAAAAAGAAAATTTTTCGAAAACCTGGTATGGAGAGGAATTTGTAAAAAAAAGAAAAAAAAAAAAGGGATTAAAATCTCTAATATTGACTTTTTTTTCAATTAAGACTCCTTACCTGGCCACTCTTCAAAAATGATATTAAGACTGCACACCTGGTCACTCTTCAAAAATGACCATTAAATTTTAACTCACAAAAAAATCAGATTTATTCTTCCTCAAATGTGGACATCAAACTTACTAGATGATGCACCTATGGACAATTTTATTTGAAGTAAAACTTCAAATAAAATTGTCTATTTATATGTTAAACCAATTAACAAATCGAAAAACAAAAGATATTACTGAACTTATCCGGCATATAAAATATTTTTAGAGAAACATTCCTTGAAAACTTATAAAGCACTGTTTTGGTCTAAATGTTATAAACTTATCAATTATAATAAGGTTCATCGAATTAAACATTTAAGAAAAACAAAAGTTAAAAATAAAAAAATGCTTTTTGTTTTCAATTCAATGTCACATGACTGTAGAAAAATTAGAAAGTAGCTAAATATAAATAAAAATTTTACGTTAAAAAATAACACACGAAAAAAAAAAAAAAAAAAAAAGTATCAATTATTATTTATATTTGTAGGTATCAACCATTTGAATACTAACGTTTGACAGCGTCAATTATTTAAAGACTACCATTTTTGGTTTTTGAAAAAATGTTCGAAGCATAAAGTTACCTGGTCTTTCAAGAATACTGCAAGTTTCTATTTATAACTTACTCATGGATTATTTTTAAACATACACTGAGCTTTAAAAAGTGATTGAAGTATTTATACAAATAATGTAAAGTTATTCATTATTTCTAAATCCGTTTAACAACTTCGTCCCGACGTTACAGACATAAACGAGGTGTTAGCAATTTCTTTCCGACATAACGGACATGTGGACATACCTGAGCAACACTTAGCACAACAACACAAATGACCACATGGAAGAAAAATAATCTCTGGCTAAAAAAACAGTTTGGTTAATTAAAAAATTTAATTTCTGTTAAATGTATATATATATATATATATATATATATATATATATATATATATATATATATATATATATATATATATATATATATATACAAATATATATATATATATATATATATATATATATATACAAATATATATATATATATATATATATATATATATATATACATATATATAAAAGCAAATACTAAAATATCTTTGTTGGTTATTATTTTCAAAATATCTTTTTTTATTTTTGTTTGAAATTGATCGTTTGTGTTTTTACACTTAGATTTTACAAAATTTTAAAGGTCTAATGTATGTATGTATGAATGTATGTATGTATGTATTTATATATATATATATATATATATATATATATATATATATATATATATATATATATATATATAAATATATATAGTTTAGTATCATAGGGGGAGGGGGTCTACGTATTGTAATGTATTATTCCAGTGTAAGTTGTCCCCACTTGTTAGAATAGTGCATACTTAATGTTAATTCTAACACTTCAGAAACTTATAAATTCAAATATATTTAGTTAATTATAATGAGCTACCAAAATTCAAATTAAATGATTAGAAATTATTTGAAAATCATTTACATACTTTTTAACCTTTTTACAAACTTACTAATTTTTATGAGTTCTGAGTTTGTCAACAGTATTTCCAGATATATGTATTTTACAAAGATTTTTATCGAAAGTTGATCAGAAAGATGATACAGTTCAGACAACAAAACAACATTCAGCATCTCTAAATAAGAGATTTTTATTTCAGGATAATTTGGATATTACAGATAATGACAGAATGTTTTACCCAACATTATTAATCCTCTCTACAAGCTCAAATTTCTTCCTATTGTTAAAGAGAGAGCAAGCAATGTTAGTGCTATTAGAGGCTGCAATGAAAAATCAAAGATATAAAACTTCACCAGAATTTATTAATATTGCTACTAGTTCCAATCATTTAACACCTAAAATCAAAACAAAAAAAAATAAAAAAAATAAATGGATTTGATAGAAAATGATTTAAACTCTTGCTTTTTAGAACTTGCAGAACATGAAGAAAATAGAAATTTTTTTTTGTTTTTTTTATAAGAAAAATTTTCAACAAACTTGTCTTTAATAGTGTTTGTCAAAAACTAAGTAAACATCCATTTGTCAAAATCAAATAAATATCAATTTTTATTTTTATTAAAATTTATTTAATTATTACTTTATTTATATACAATTTCATTAGCAATAATTAATTAGTAAGTTTGATAAAATAAAAATAATTAGATAAAATAAACCATTGGGTTGGAAAGCTAGAAATAGATAAAGACCTACTTTTAATACACAAAACAAATATATCAAATTGAGGAAAATGTTTAACAATCGAAGAGGTCACTTTCAAAAGCTAAATCGTGTCACTTGAATCGATTCGTGTCACTTTCAAAAGCTCTTGGTTGTAGCAAAAACATCATCGGACAAATCATAATATGTTTTTCAAAAGCCTATTCTTTGTTATAAAAAAACAATAACAACCAGGCAGAACATATGAACAGAGGCTTCAGGGTCACGGAAAATGCGGTCGACTTTAATCAAAATAATGTGACTATAAATTTATTATTGGCATTAGTCTTACTTTACTTGGTCAAATAGCACAATGGCTGTTAATAATACACACTATTTAAATGATCAAAATTTGACACCAGACATTGTTTATGACATTGCAAAATTAAAAAAAACTAGTATTATCACCCCACAAGGGGCCTTCAACTTATATTGTTCCTTATGGCCAAGCAATAAACCAAGAGATCTATTCAAAAGAGTGTTTACAGAAGGGCTTGCAGCTTTTTAATAAAAAATAATATCAAGGCACTAAGTACATCTTTTGCCTTATTTGGCAACATCTCATTGAGCTAATTCGGAAATAAATTGGGCAAAAACCCAGAAAAACCATTTGTTCAAAAAAAAAGGACAATCCAGCAAAAAGAAGCTTGTGCTATAAAGGATTTTCGGACAATGCCTAAGCGGGCTGTGTACAAGAATGGATGGTCTACAAATGATATATCAAGCCTTAAGCATCAGATTCGTTATTGTGCAAGTATACTTTAATGCTGTAAGAAGACCTAAATGCTGTACAAATGTTGTACAAATACTGGTACATAGTACCAATACCAGACCAAATTCAAAGATATGGAGTCTTGCGATAAATTTTTTTTTATTTTTGTATTTCGCATATTATATTCTATTCAAAAATCTTTTTTTATGAGAAATATTTATAAGAAAAAGTAATCAAGGGCATTTCCTCAATGCAAAGAAATGTTATTGTTTATACATCATAATGTTGATAAATTTATAAATAAATGATAAAATCTATATTCCTTGTGTGCAGTTAGTTTTTAATCATTTGATATATATCAAATTACTAAGAAATAACTTTAAACTTGAACAATAATTTATTGAATCCACTAACATTAGATTGTTTAAAAAGATAAATGATTTGATCAGGTCTAAACTATCTTTAGGATTGCAGCAATTGTTTTTTTATTAAAAGTTTTTTTCTTATTATTGATAAACAATAAGTACCCAGCATAACCAACTGGATTATATTATATAGCCGGATACAATATACAAATACCCTGTTCTATTAATACTCCTTGTAGCTTTAAAACTATTAGCATTATAGAAAATAACTTGAAAAAAATGTTTTATTAAGTTAACATGAGAAGTACAAATATGTTTTTCCAATTTTCTAACAATTTTAAGTTTCCAAAATTAAATTTGTAACTTAGATTTACTCCTTTAAGATATTGTTGAACAACTTATTTCATGATGTTATTGAAGTTATGATTACAAACGTAATCCAAATTACAGGACTTCAAATTACTGACAGCAATAATGACTGACTTCTTAGTCATGCTAGTCTAAAAAATAACTTAAAAAAATCTTTTTGATTTATTAGTATTTCACTGATAAACTTTTAATTATTTCAGTCACTTTTGACTTTTGTAAGATTTTCTTTCTGAAAGATTTTCTAAAAATAGGTCATTAATTTATATGAACATGATACACTTTTCAATTCTAAAATAATGCTATTAATATGAAAATAAACACAGCCTACTATGATTTTAGACATTTTAAACCTACAATCATAATACAATATGTTACCTTCATAAGATCTATAAAAAAAAAGCCTACAATGAAATCTGATTACCATAACATCCATACAAACAACACACTCTAGTTCTTTATAAAAATTAGAATTACAACTTTTGTTGTATTCATGTTGCAGGATATCATTATCTTCATTCCACTGCGCCTACATATAAATAATCCTAATATAATATAACTTATATATAAACATTTAAAATTTTTACATTTTCAAAAATAAAAAAAGCAAACAAAACAAATAAAAAATTGAAATAAATATATTTATATCTTGAATCACATTTATATCTTGCTCTTTACAGAGATTTTCTTCAACTGTATGTGGTTTGGAAACATCTTGATTAACTATGGAGTCATTTTCACATTTATTCTCATTAATTTGAGGTTCAGGACGAGAGGAATTAATAATAGCCTGTAGAAAAAATACATTATACAAATTAAATTTTGAATGAAAACATTAGGTTCAAGTATTATTAAAACATATATTTGGTTTTGCTATAAAACTGACACTAATCTAAACTAATTTTGTATAAACTAATAATCTATAATCAATCTAATCTCACTTTTCCAAACCAATTTTCAAACAAAGAAGAGTTATGTAAAAAACTAAATTTTCTGTAGACATGTCTTTCATAGTTAGGTAGTGCAGGTAGGTGTTTTATATGTATATATATATGCTCCAAACCTAAATTCATAGTCATTTTAATACACTAAAGGTATTTTATTACTATTAGTCATATTTTATGAGGTTAATGCGCTGATCCTTTTATTACTTTCATTCATATAACAAGAAAATTATTCATAACAAGAAAATAAAGTGATCAAGAGTATCATTTAGGCAGTTGAAAAAATAATCATGGTTCATATGGTATTCTGGTAGTCGTAGTAGTTAAGTGTCCTTTTTGTATAAAACAGCTTTTTTTAAAAGTCATTACAAATATCTGATAATGACGAACAGTTGCAAAGGTGGAAAAAAACGCGATCATTCATTTAGTTTATTAGTTTTGTTTCATTAAACATAAAATAATGATTTATAAAACTAATTACATACAAAAAACTAAATAGCACTATTATTAATTTTTTTCATACATATTAATATGACTTTTTTCATACATAAGTATTATAAATGATAAATATTATTGTAAATGATTGCAAAAACATGTTTCAACTAATTTATCATCACACCTTTATTTAATTCAATGTTACTTTTTATCGTTTTAATTTTTTAAATAATATTCATTAATTTAGATTACACTTATAGTATTTTGTCTATAAAATTTTGCTCATGATGTTTAACTGATCATATATGTGGTGTAATGGTAGATTCCAAGTTCGATCCCCATCATGCCCCTGGTAGTACTGCACTCAACTTCTTTCTTGGCACAGTGGCCTTACTCATTAAGTTTTGTGTTTTGGAGTTATAGAGTTGAGAGAGGTTTATAACCACAAGTAGCCTCCTCGTCTATAGTGTCTTTTTCGGCCTTGTGGTGGTAAATTTACATAAAAAATGAAGCTAACTAGCAGTGGGGAAGGCAATTAAAACTAGGAGAAAAAAAAAAGTGATATAAAACCCTCAGCTTAATTGTAAGGGTAGGAAAACCCCCAATTTAAACAAGTAAGGGTAGGAAAAACTTGTCAACTATGGATAGCAACTTTCCCAGGATGTATCATAATAATATTGATTTGAAACAGCTTAACAGCTCAACAGCTCAAATATTAATAATATTTTAAGCGAAAGATATAGAATCTCTGAAGACAGGTTAAGAAGAAATAATTTAAGGATAGTTGGAATTCCTGAAAATGCAAATGAAATCTGGGATGAAAATGAAGAAAAGGTTCAAAATTAGTTATGCATAAAATTAGGAGTTAAAGAAGTTGAAATTAATAGAGTGCATCGGGTAGGTTTTAAAAAAAAAAACAATCTTGAACCATTGTATTAAAATTATTGAGATTCAAAGACAAATCAAACATCCTAAAACAAAAAAAACTAAAAGGAATAAACATCTACATAAATAAAGATTTCTAGCAAGAGACAGCAAATCTTCGTAAGAAATTATTTACAGAAGCAAAAGAAAGAAAATTAAAAGGTGAAAACGTTATTGTCAGGTATGAAAAAATTTATTATTTAAAAAAATGTTTACAATAAGAAAAAATAATACTGCTAGAAAACAATTTTAATCTTAATTTTGCATATTTTAATAATAAAAATGGCTAACAAATTAAATGCAACAAATTTTTTTGAAATTTTTAATAAACAAAACACACTTCTTTTGAATAATGATATTGATCCAGATAAACTTTTTTTGAGGGCACCATAACTAACTCAAACTATTTTGATATTGAGGAAGTTTCTAACCTCATGAATGCGTCACAATTGTTATTTTCAACATTAACTTTAAACATACATAGTATGAGTAACAATTTTGAAAATTTTAAATTAATGCTAAAAATTATAAATTCTGAATTATGCTTAATCGAAACATGGTGCAAAAATGAAAAAATAGTTTTCAAATTCCAGGTTATAAAGCAATCCACCAAACTCAAAGTGGTGGCATTGGTGGCAGTGTATGCATTTTTATTCACAAGTCAATCCATTTTCAGAAAATAGAAATTCTCAGCATTCAAAATGCGGATTATGAATCATTAACTATCGAATTATTAAACCACAATAATAAAACATTTTAATAAAAAATATTTTAAGTTGCATTGTATTCGAAAAAAAAAAAAAAATGTAATACTTTTTATTTAAAAGTATTTAATATTATTTTACTGAGATTGTAATTTTTTTTTTTATATTGTACTTTTTTTTTATATGTAAATGATACAACGGGGCTGGATGATTAGACTTTTGTCTTCTGCCTGCTCCCGCCACATCTTAACTCAAAAAAGTATCGTAAATAGTTTATTATGGATATGACAATATATATATATATATATATATATATATATATATATATATATATATATATATATATATATATATATCATATGGTCTGAAGACTATTTCATGGATATTTACATATAGTAATTTTACTAATCTTAAGTAAACACCATACAGATCTTTAAATATATATATACATATATATCAAGCCTTCCCAGAAAAGGCGTGCGGTTTTTTGTCTCATACGACCACGAAAACGTTATTCATGTTAGAGAACGTGATCATGGCCGTTAGCGCAAGTTTTATTATATGCGTTGCTGAAAAATTGTTTTAAATTTTTAATAAATAAACTTACTACTACAAAAGTAATAACACTCTAGTCACTAACTACATTATAAAAGTAATAAAACTATAATAGTGTTATTACATTTATAAAGCACTTCTTACTTTTAAAGTTCATCCTTTGTTCAAACAACATTATTAATTCCAAACATAAAGAAAAAAACTAAAGTAGAAAAAATAAAGCGGATATTCAAATATTATTAAAAATTTCAGGAACTTTCACATATCACTTGAACAACGTTATAAAAATGTCCTTTTAAAAAGCATTATGAAAAACGTAACATAAAAACGCGCGTTAATTTTAAAATCAACCAATAAAAAATTTTTATTGGTTAATTTTAAAATTAATGCGCGTTTTTACGGCCCATTAGTAATGTTTTTCCATAGTCATAAGAAATAAGATAGTCTGGCCACTTGCGGTATTCCTTTGATCAACTCTTTGTTTGCATTTTTTTAGTGTCCAGTCCGCCGCAGAGTGCAAAAAATTTATTTTCATCAACTGTTTTTCTATGAATTGCTTGTCTAAATTGCATCTTCTTCATCCAATACTTTAAATGCCTGGCGCTAATTGTTCTATTTATGGATGCAGTACTTCTCGGAGGCATAAGGAAGTTTCAATATTTAAAGTTCCTGCATCTAACGATAGTTTTAATACTTCTTGGAGGGAAAATTTAATAGCCATCATTCTTAAAGATCGTGTTAAAGATATAAATTTGAAGGCTCAAATAGAAAGAAAGTGTCTGTTTATTTGTGAAAAGCATTATCTTCCAGAAATGATACTTCATAATGACAACAGAAAGTCACTAAAACCTGGGTCATTACCGACTTTGTGTCTTCCAAAAAAAAGTTTTATGTCATCAATTCCTATACAAAGGGAATCTGCATCTTCTATTGTTGCTAAAAGAGATGCTTCAATGATTTCAAATAGTATTATTACCTTTAAACCTATATATAAATCATACGAAGAGTTCCTAAATCATATTAGTAAGGTAAAGATTTGTGACTGGACAGTAAGTGTGAGGCAGAATTTAAACTTTATGACACAATCCACTTATTTCCTCGATATGAAATATATGTTGATGACAGTCTTGCATTTACCATTTGTGTATATTCTTGGCTCATTCCAGATGATCATTCAATATATGCAAAATACAGAAGATCAATGCGACATATTTCAGTTTCAAATCTTACTTCTGTTGTTACTTCTTTTACCCTTTGTTCTGGAATAACTGATGTATTTGCTTTAAAATCAAATCTTTATATTAAACATTGTATTTCAAAAAAGTTTGATCTAGGAGTGATTTTCCCTTAAATCAGACAGAGTATTTTTGATCTCAATCATGTATTATGCTAATTGAGTTAATGTTATGCTGTTCTCAATGCAAAAGGATTGAAAAAAGTGAAATCATAAGTTTGAAAATGTTGCCAATGCTTATATCCCTGCTAAATTAAATGCACCAATTAAATTTACATCTCCAGATCGTCTGAAGCTTACATTACAGAGTGATCGTCTGGAAAATAAAGAATTAAAAAAGGAATTAGCTTTGATGAAGCAGGAGATTGAAAATTCATCACTAGCTATAAGTAAAAGTATTGAAAGCGATTTAGTTCAAATAATGGCAGGAACCGATAAAACCCAGGTTTCTCCATTTATGAGCCTGTTTTGGGAAGAGCAGCAAAAATATTTAAAAAGCTCAAAGCAAGGGATTCGCTATCAACCAGCAATAATACGTTACTGTTTGGGATTAGCTGCAAAATCACCAGCTGCTTATGAAGCAGTACGGTTAAATGAGAAAAACAATTCTGGTTTCTTAGTTTTACCAAGTCGTAGGCGATTACGTGACTATAAAAATTATGTGAAGCCAAAGTTGGGGTTTAATAAATATATAATAAAAGAATTAAAAGATAAAGTCGAACATTTTTCAGCTCAAGAAAAATTTATTGTCCTAGTTCTTGATGAAATGAAAATTCAAGAAAATCTTGTTTGGGACAAACATTCTGGAGAATTAATTGGTTATGTTGATTTGGGCGATCCTAGTGTTAATTTTGCAACATTACAGCAAGCAGACAAACTTGCTTCTCATGTATTAGTTTTTTTAATAAGAAGTATTGTAAATCCTTTCAAATATAGTTTTGCAAACTTTGCTACTATAAATATTACATCAGTGCAATTATTTTCTCTATTTTGG